ATGACTCAGGAACAGGAATGTGGCCTCTCAGACCCTCAGGTTTGTCAGGAAGAAGAGGACAAATGTGTACACGTCCAAAGGCTTAAGGCTCAGAGACCAACGTGGCCATGCAGGAGGGCTGGGTCAGAGGGCCTGGCTGGGGCCAGTGTGAGCAAGGGGCCCTTCAGGAGGCTGTGGAGAAGTCAGAGTTCACTGGAGGCAGGAGAACAGCCTGTGCAAAGGCAGAGAAAGTGGAAGGCAGTCTGGGGGAACAGTGTGGTATGGGGCACCCCAAAGGCAGGAGGGGAAAGCAGAGGCTGGCTCAGGGGCCCGGCGTCCTCCCACAGGCAGTGGGAGTCACACAGGGTGTGTGTGCCAGGTGGGGCATGTCCTGACAGACCCAGGAGTTCTAGGGGGAGGCCACAGGGAGGCGAGCTGGGACACAGCCCTGAGACCCCATCGGAGGGAGCTGAGGCAGGCGAGGGGAAGGAGGTGCCTGCCCAGCAGCCCTGCAGACCCATGGGCAGACAGCACAGGCAAGAGAGCCCCCAGCCACTCAAAGCAGAAACTGGGGGCCGGAGAGGTCTAGACAGGCCTAGGGGAAGGGCGGGGGTGCCCCCTGCTCCCACTCTGGCCCCTGGCCTTGGCAGCTGAAGTCCCACCATCTCAGTCATTCACAGACGGACACCGCAGGCCTGCCCAGGTCACATCAACCCTGGGGACTGGGACTCCCCAGCTGGGCTGGGAGCCTCCAGGGCATTCAGCCCAACCCGGCACTACTGACCCGGCACTACTGACCGTGGTCAACTGTGTATTTCCTGACCACCTGCCCTGTGACCACATGGACCCTACAGCACCATCCCTGTGGTGCAGACACTTCCGAGAGCTGGGAGACACAGCTGGGTGGCCGTGCTGTGCCTGGGCCGGGTCAGCCACTCCTTGTGTAGGATGGAAGCCCACCCTGACACTGTCCGTCCTTGGGAGAGATGGGCTGCCCAGGCCCGAGGGTCTATCTGGGGCAGGCGGACCCTCCATAGCCCAGAGTCTCTGCTAGCTCTGTGGCCCAACCCCACGCCATCTCAACGCCCTCAGACTCAGCTTTCAAAACCAAGACCTCTGCCAGGCACGGTGGCTCACGTCTGTAACCTCAGCACTTTGGGAGGCTGAGGAAGGCAGATGACTTGAGCCCAGGAGTTTGAGACCAGCCTGGGCAACATGGCGAAACCTTGTCTCTATGAAAAATTTTTTAAAAATTAGCCAGGCAGTGGGGCACAGTCCCAGCACTTTGGGAGGCCGAGGCAGGCGAAGCACCTGAGGTCAGGAGTTCAAGACCAGCCTGGCCAACATGGTGAAACGCCATCTCTACTAAAAATAGAAAATTTAGCTGGGTGTAGTGGTGCACGTGTGTAATCCCAGCTACTCGGGAGGCTGAGGTAGGAGAATCGCTTGAACCTGGGAGGCGGAGGTTGTAGTGAGCTGAGATCTCGCCACTGCACTCTAGCCTGGGAGACACAGCGAGACTCCACCTTAAAAAAAAAAAAATTAGCCAGGCATGGTGGTGTGTGCCTGTGGTCCCAGCTACTTGGAAGGCTGAGGTGGGAGGAATGCTTGAGGTTGAGGCTGCAGTGAGCTGTGATTACACCACTGCACTCCAGCCTGGGCAACAGTGCGAGACCCCAACTCAAAAAAACAAACAAAACAAAACAAAAGAAAACTAAGACCCCCCCCACCCGCCGCCAGTGGGGGTGATGAGGGAAGAAGCGGTGTTCCCCCAGCCTCAGGCTTAATGGTCAGGGTCACAAACCTTCTGCCAAGAGCCTGAACACCCCCTACATACCCAAGTTCAGCCCCAAACCCAGCCCAGCTGGCAGAGGAGGGGTCCCCATGAGCGGCCATGGCACATGCCAATTGCCAGGTGCCGACTTTCTGTACAGCTCCTCTATGACCCAGCAAGGGTGAGGCCACTACCTGGGACAGCAAGACCGGCCAGATGCCATCTGTGCTGTCACCATGCCTCACGGGAGTGGCAGAGGCCGGAGACCCCAGGCCCCCAGGTGAGGCTGGCCGTCTCTGCGGTGGCTGACAGGTGCACTGCCCTGCTCGGCAGTATCCCAGGCAGGGGGCTGACCCTGCTCCATCCTTGGCACCATGGACCGTCTCTCAGGAATGACCTGTCCTTGGGGTCACCTTGACAGGAGAGGCAGAGGGGATGGTCCAGGCAGGTCTTGGCCTTGAACATGGTGGCCTCAGCAAGCCCACGAGAGAATCCAGCCGGTCCCGGAGCCCCTGGCGTGGGGGGCCCTTCTCACTCCTCTTGGTGACAACAGGGATGACTCCCAGGGGTTCCGTCCTCTGCAGCCAAGGTGTGTGGAGCAAAGACGCGAGGTCGAGTAGGAAAGACCCTTTTATTGGGGTGGACACGGAGCGCGCACTAGTCCATGATAAAAATAAAATGACTCAAGAGAAAGATCCCAAGGGCCGACTTCTCCCCGACGTGCGCACACGCTGAGTGAGGTCTGGGCATGGGAGAGTTCCAGGCAGAGCGTGGGACAAGACCGAGTCTCAAGGGCCTGGACCGGTGTCGGGGGGAGAAGGCCACTCGGCTGTCCTGGTGGGTCGGCCGCCCCAGGCCCGCCCTTGTTGCCCAGCCACAGTGAAGCCCCCGCTAGAGACCCTCACAGACACGCTCTGGTTCTCTGGAGAACTGGGGGCAGGAGTCGGGGAACTGGCCCGGTGGAAGGCGGGGGTCGGGGGACAATGTTGTGTTTTTTTAAAAAGCATCTACCAACATCACACTACTGGGTCTGATGTCCCCTTTAACCAACGCTTGATACAGGTTACAGCATAAATAAAAACTCAAGGAAAATAAATACATCGGCTCCTATGAGGTTGGAAGTGGTGTGGACGCAGGGTGTGGATGGGCCGGCAGGGAGGCGGGCGGGCGGGGTGCTTACACATGGCGGGCAGGCGGGTGGGCGACCGAGGAGCAGACCTGGCAGGAGGCGCCTGTGGGGTTGAGAGTCTTAAGTGTCCTCGTGCATGTCTGGGCTGTCGGTTCGCGCCACCTTGCGGGGAGGTGCGGAGCTCTCGCCTTCCAGCTCCACTTGCTCCTGGTCTCTCTTCTTGGCAGCGTTCTGGGGGACAGAGGAAAGAGAGGGGCTGTGAGTCATTTTTTTCGGACAGGCTCTCGCTGGAGTGCAGTGGTATGATCACTGCTCACTGTAGCCTCAACCTTCTGGGCTCAAGCAATCCTCCCAGCTCAGCCTCTGGGAGTAGCTAGGACTACAGGCACGCAGCACCACACTTAATATTTTTACTTTTGGTAGACATGGGGGTCTCACTATGTTGCCCAGCCGGAGGCTGTGAGTCTTCACGTGGGTGAAGCTCCCAGAGTCCTAATGCCAGCCCAGGCCCCCGCAACAGCATCACAGAGGTAAGCCTGGAGTACGGTGGGGGGTCTTGGGGTCCCTGGCTGGGCAGTCCCTCCTACCACCAGGACCTGCCCTGCTAAGCCCTGCCCAGAGCACTTCCTGGACCTACGGCCGGTGATAGACAGGTGTTTCCTGGGCACCTGGAGGAGTCACCCCCAGCACGTGCAATGACACACAGGGCTGGTTTCTCAAGCACTCAGAGGAGCGATCCACCCAGCCTGGGAATAAAGGCCTTTGGAAGCCACTGGGGATGCTGCACATCAACGCAAGAGAGAAGCACCTGTCTCCTTCCCCGCTGTGGAAACCAAGGCCTGGAAGCAGGAGAAGGGGGGGGATGGGCCCAGCAGCTTGGATTTTCGGCAACAGTCACTTTGCCACAGAGTCCCCCCACCTTCCAACTTTGCCCAGGGTAGGTAGCCACCCAGTGTTCAATGTTAAGTAAAAAAAGCAAACTTGCCGGGCGCGGTGGCTCATGCCTGTAATCCCAGCTACTCTGGAGGCTGAGGCAGGAGAACCGCTTGAACCTGGGAGGCGGAGGTTGCAGTGAGCTGAGATTGCAGCACTGCACTCCAGCCTGGACAACAGAGAGACTCCGTCTCCAAAAAGAAAAAAAAAAAAGAAAAAATAAGAGGGCCGGGTGCAGTGGCTCACACCTGTCATCCCAGCACTTTGGGAGGCTGAGGCAGGTAGATCACTTGACGTCAGGAGTTCAAGACTAAAAATACAAAATCCACTAAATCTACTAAAAATACAAAAATTAGGCCAGGCATGGTGGCTCACGCCTGTAATCCCAGCCTACTTTGGGAAGCCAAGGCGGGCGGATCACCTGAAGTCAGGAGTTCAAGACCAGCCTGACCAACATGGAGAAACCTCGTCTCTATTAAAAATACAAAATTAGTCAGGCATGGTGGTGCATGCTTGTAATCCCAGCTACTCGGGAGGCTGAGGCAGAATCGCTTGAACCCAGGAGGTGGAGATTACAGTGAACCAAGATCGCACCATTGCACACCAGCCTGGGCAACAAGAGCAAAACTCCATCTCAAAAAAAAAATAATGATAAAATTAATTAGCCGGGCATGGTGGTGTATGCCTGTAATCCCAGCTACTCGGGAGTCTGAGGCAGGAGAATTGCTTGAACCCAGGAGGTGGAGCCTGGGAGGAGAAGGTTGCACTGAGCCGAGAACATGCCACTGTACTCCAGCCTGGGCGACAGAGCAAGACCTCATCTTAAAAACAAACAAACAAAAACAAAAACAAAAGAAAAAGAAGAAAAAATGTCCCATGTGCAGAGGCAGCCACTGGGAAGGGAGCTGGGGCACCAGAAGCGGCGGGGAGATGACTCTTCACTGCAACTACACCCTCTCATTTTCACTTTTTAGAGACGGGGTCTGGCTTTGTTGCCCAGGCTGGAGTGCAAAGGCGCAATCATGGCTCACTGCAGTCTCAACCTCCTGGGCTCAAGCGATCTTCCCACCTCAGCCTCCTGAATAGCTGGGATAACAGGAACATGCCACAGCCAGCTAATTTTTTTTTTTTTTTAGTGACGGGGTTTTGCTATGTTGCCTAGGCTGGTCTCAAACTCCTGGCCTCAAGCCATCTGCTCGGCTCAGCCTCTCAAGCAGTTCGGGGTGTGAATCACCACACCCAGCCACACCCTCTCATGTTGCCTAGATTTTTTTTTTTTTTTTTTTTTTTTGAGACCGCCCAGGCTGCAGTGCAGTGGCGCAATCACGGCTCACTGCAATCTCTGCCTCCCAGGTTCAAGCGATTCTTCTGCCTCAGCCTCCAGAGTAGCTGGGATTACAGGCACGCGCCACCATGCCCGGCTAATTTTTGTATTATTAGTAGAGACGGGGTTTGAGACTGGGTTTCACCATGTTGGCCAGGCTGGTCTCGAACTTCTGACTTCATGATCCGCCTGCCTAGGCCTCCCAAAGCGCTGGAATTACAGGCATGAGCCACCACGCCCGGTCTAGATTTTTAATCATATGTACACACTCCACCATTCAGAAAAGATTCTTTTTTTTTTTTTTGAGATGGAGTCTGGTTCTGTCACCCACGCTGGAATGCAGGGGTCCAATCTCGGCTCACTGCAAGCTCCGCCTCCCAGGCGCAAGCCATTCTCCTGCCTCAGCTTCCCGAGTAGCTGGAACTACAGGCGCCCACCACCACGCCCGGCTAATCTTTTTCTGTATTTTTTAGTAGAGACAGGGTTTCACCGTGTTAGCCAGGATGGTCTCAATCTCCTGACCTCGTGATCTGCCCACTTCAGCCTCCCAAAGTGCTGGGATTACAGGCGTGAGCCACTGCGCCCAGCCTTTTTTTTTTTTTGAGACAGTCTTGCTCTGTCACCAGGCTGGAGTGCAGTGGCGCGATCTCAGCTCACTGCAACCTCTGCCTCCCTGGTTCAAGCGATTCTCCTGCCTCAGCCTCCCGAGCAGCTGGGATTACAGTCATGCGCCACCACGCCCAGCTAATTTTTGTATTTTTGGTAGAGATGGATTTCCCCATGTTAGCCAGGATGGTCTTGATCTCCTGATCTCGTGTTCCACCCGCCTCAGCCTTCCAAAGTGCTGGGATTACAGGTGCGAGTCACCATGCCCAGCCTCAGAAAAGATTCTATCTAGTTCATACCAATACAGTCTACCTAATGCCAGGGCCATGGAAAGCTGGGCCTGGTGGGTGCTTGGGCCTGGCCTCCAGCCTCCTGAGCACTAGTGTCCTGTGGCCTCTGCACAGCGGTTCCCTCCATTGGAACGACGCTCTTCCCACTCCTGGATCGCCCAGGGCACTCCTACCCAGCCCTCAAGACCCTACTCCAGTCACTAGAGTCCTTCCTGTGCTCAGAAGCCCCTGCCAGGCATCCCATCTCTGTACACCCACAATCCCTGCACGGGAGCCCTGCGGGCCTCACCTTTTTGTCCCATTGCTGATGCAGGTAGCGCAGAAGGATGTTTGTCTTTTCTGTCACGATGACTAAGGAGGAAAGACAGAGAAAGTCGCAGACGTGTCCCCTCCCCGGGCTCCTCCCCTGACACTGCCCTGGGAGGTCTTTTTGGGGCTTGAACTCAGTATCCCCAACTCCGGAGATCTCCAAAAGTCCCGTGTTTTTGCTTCTGAGCACACACGCAGCCACTCCCAGCGGCCTGAGTCAGCTGCTTTCAGGGTCCCTGCTCCCTGCAAGGGATTCCATCCTTGGATGGGGAACTAAGCCCAGGCACTGAGACTCTCGTGCCTGTTTCTCCCGGGCTGACTAGGAGCACACACCGCATATCTGTGCCCACTGACCACACAGCCCCACCCCACAGGCTCCAGATGGATAAATGCTTTAAGAGCAGGGTCTCACTCTGTCACCCAGGCTGGAATAATCATAGCTCACTGCAGCCTGGAGCTTCTGGGCTCAAATGATTTTCCCACCTGGGATTATAGACACACGCCACAACGCCTGGCTAATATATATATGGTTTTTGGTGAAACAGGGTCTCACTATGTTGCTCAGGTTGGTCTCGAACTCCTGGCCTCAAGCAATCCTCCGGCCTCGGCCTCTCAAAGTGCTGGGATTACAGGCAGGAGCCACCCTACCTGGTGTGGAGTCTTTTTGAACAGTTAAACTAAGACAGCAGGACCAAGTCCTCCTGTGCTGTGGGTCCCTCCGGCTGGACCCCCTTCCTGTCACTTTCACCCAGGCCTGGCTGGATCCCCCAGCCCAGGCTCCTGTAGCCCTCTGCTGCCTCCCTGCCCAATAGTACTTGTCTTAGAACCAGAGTCCTCGCCTGCCCTCATCTGACAAGGAGGGGAAGGGGCCAGTGAGTGGCAGATGAGCGACAACTTGGGGGCCCCTTTGGGCTGACTATGGATCCCAGTGTGTCCCAATCAGGAGACGTCTGGGGAAAGCCAGGTTTCTGGCTGTCTCCAGGTGCTAGGAGTGGACAGGCATCCACGTGTGCATCCCCAGGCTGAAGCCCCCACAGTCCCCCTCCTGCACCTCCCTGGAGGCCCTCCCTGACCTAACTGGATTCAGTAGCCAGCATGTGAACCCCAGCCAAATCTATGGCCTGGGCCAGGGTTGAAGATAACCTCCTCGTGCCACGCTGCGGTCACCAAACCCCACCCCTCAGCAGCCAGAATGGGACAGACCGACAGCGGCCACTTACTCTGTTCAGATGGGTACTCTCGGGTGGGCAGGTAGACTGAGGGCCGTCGGTTCTGCAGGAGGGTTGGGAAGGGGTAGGTTAGGAGAGTGCATGGGCCTGGGGTCTCCTCATCCCTCCACGCGGCACCCACCCTTCAGTGCAGATTGGAAGACACTCAAGAATGTGGATGGGGCTGGGCTTGAAGATCAGCCTCTGTTCCAGCCAAGACCCCAATCGGGGGACACAAGCTACTCCCAGGCCCTCTGGAAGTGCCCAGTCCCTCCCAGCCCCAGGAACACGCACTCACCGAGGCTTTGCACACGGAGTCCGCGTGAAATCGACTAAAATTGCTTTTGTTGTAGACAGGCAGTCCTTTCAAAAAATCTGCCTAGAAGACATGGAAGATGGTACATGAGAAAATAGGCAATGGGCTGGCTCATCCCTGAAGCACCTGCACGGTGCATCCCTTCTTCCCGCTGTTCTTTGTAGTTCAAGTTTTCCAGAACACACTCTTGAGCTGGCTGCTGGATACACTGCCGGGCCCAGAGAAAAGTAACCAAGCCAGGCTATGTGCACGTCCTCCGGGGGGTCCTCATGGCAGCCCCTAACTAGATAAGAGGTGGGGAAATTGAGGCTGTAAGAGAACAGGCCACTGGTTAAAAGTCATACCACAGCAGGCCCACATCTGTAATCCCAGCACTTTGGGAGGCCGAGACGGGCGGATCATCTGCAGCCAGGAGTTTGAGACTAGCCTGGCCGACATGGCGAAACCTCATCTCTACTAAAAATATAAAAATGAGCCGGGCATGGTGGTGCGCGCCTATGATCCCAGCTAGTCGGGAGGCTGAGGCTGGGGAATCACTCGAACTCGGGAGGCAGAGGTTGCAGTGAGCCGAGATCATGCCACTGCACTCCAATATAGGCGACAGAACCA